TGTGTGGCTGCACAGGCATTTCTTTGATCATGTGGATACTCTCTTGGCAAGACTCTGTCTTCTGCCTGGGGTTGCTCCTTAGTGTGGTGAGCTGCTATGTGTTAAGTATCAGGAGGTGCAGAGTGCCAGCCTCTTTAGTCTGGTCTCCATACAAACAAGCCTGGGAGGTATTTGATTCCAAAACAAACATTTGCTTGTTAGGAACATTTGCTGTGGTCAGCTCACTGTGGTTGGGAGAGCTGAGGGCATTTGGTCTCAATGACAAACAGATGTGGTTTAGTTGTATTAAAAACATGGGTTACTAGCCAGGTGGTGGTGACACACGCTTTTAATCCCAGCACTCCCAGCACTCGAGAGGCAGAGCCAGGCAGATCTCTGTGAGTTCGAGGCCAGCCTGTTCTACAGAGTAAGATCTAGGACAGCCAGGACTATTTCACAGAGAAACCCTGTCTCAAAAAACCAAACCAAACCAACCAACAAACAAAAAAGCCATCGGTCACCCAAAAGGACTTTCTGACAGTTTCAAATCAAGTGTGTGGGAGGAGCAAAGAAACGGCAGCTGCTCCCTAGAAATAAGCACAGGGTCCCTGACTCGCAGGAGATGAGAGTTGGGAGTCAGTTTATGCAACTTGATGCTTTAAAGGAGTTTTCAGTCTGAGACAAGGCTGCCCATTGTTTGGGGGCCAGCTCAAATGTCTCCTTTAGAAAACCCTCTGAGTCCCTGGGAGAACTGTGTAGCCCAAGTGCCATGCATGTCTCTAGATGCAGTCACTACCCAACACACGGCAGACTGAGACTTAATATGTCTCACACTGTGGTAGGTGGTGATGCCCCAGAGGGCAGAATAGGGACCAAAGCACCTCAGAATCCCCAGGGCTTGGTTCAGACTGGGTACCAGGAAATACAGGGTTCATAAAGGAAGACAGTTACTCTGTTAAAAAGGAGTCAAATAAAATCCTGCAGTTGTTTAGAAGAATGAGGTGGTAAGACAGGTTAGTTACCACCTGGGAGGTGCTGGTGAGAACTCTGGGCTGGTGAGACGGCTCAGGTGGGTAAAGGCACATGTCACACAAACCTGGTGACCAGGATTTGAGCTCCAGAACCCATATAATGTGGAAGGAAAGAACAGTCTCCACAAAGTTGTTCTCCGACCTCCACTTGCATGCTGTGGCACACACAGGTGTTTGAGTGTGCACACAGAAACATGCTCACAACATTTACACCTGTAGGTGTACCATCCCTACTGGGCTATATGCCCGGGTAGCAGAGGACAAAATAAGCTCCTTTCCTCACATTAACTTTGCAGGTATTTCATCACAACAAAGAGATAAGTAATTACTCTATCAGGTTTTAGTCAACTAATCCCTAAATATATAAGAAAGTCCTAACAAGATCACCCCCACATGCAACTATTTGCAGACCTATCTACCCAACTCACAGCTGTCTACATATAAAACAGGGAGTTAAGCTGGTGTCTTGGATACCCCACCATAGCAATGGAGTGTAATTGAAAGTTTTCCTCCAGTTCCGCCCATCCCGAGATCCAAAGCTGCTTATAAAACAAATCACTCAGGCAGGCCGGCAGTGCACACCTTTAATTCCAGCACTCAGGAGGCAGAGCCAGGCAGATCTCTGTGAGTTCAAGGCCAGCCTGGTCTACAGGGTGAGATCCAGGACAGGCACCAAAACTACACAGAGAAACCCTGTCTCGAAAAAAAACAAACAAAATAAAATAATAATAATAATAATAAACCACTCAGAAGCTTATATTTATTATAACTGCTCAGCCATTAGCTCAGGCTTATTGCTGACTAGCTCTTACACTTAAATTAACTCATAATTCTTATCCACGTTTAGCCATGTGGCTTGGTACCTTTTCTCTGCTTTGCCTTGTCATCTTGCTTCCTCTGTGTCTGGCTGGCAACTCTTGACTCTGCCCTTCCTCTTCCCAGAATTCTCCTAGTCTACTTGTCTCACCTATACTTCCTGCCTGGCTACTGTCCAATCAGAGTTTTATTAAACCAGTGTACAAGAGCATTATCCTGCAGCAATGGAGGACTCCTATTCACTATAAAGAACCCCAAACCAGACTGAGGAGACCTGTCAGAAATGTGCAATGATTTTGAACAAAATACATCTTCCAGGGTCACAGTTTCTCACTGTGCAAGAGCAAGAGGTAGCCACTGATGGCTTGATAAGTCCCATTACCTTCCACGTGGAAACTTCTAGATGATGGCAATGTTGTATACCCAGAGAACTCAGAACTGAGAAAAACAGTGGAAAATCTGGTAGAGTACTTACTTCCTTCTCCTTCCGCTTGACCTGGCATCTGAGGTCTGGATTTCTGGATTCTGCATCAGGGGCCAGAGCTCATCTGTCCCTCTAGGCTCTGTGGTTTTACCAACAAGGTGGTCCCATACCCAGTGCACTTCTCAACAGGGGCAGGTCCTGAGAGAGGCATTTATAGACTGACAAAATAAAGTCCCAGGCACAGCCTGGCCTGGAGCAGGAAGATAGCTGGCTGGAGGTCACAGAGGATGGCTTTGTGTGTCCACACGTTTATTTGTCCTCTGAGTCTTTAAGTGCCTGTTGCATTTGGCACTGTAGAATGGATAAGACATGGTCCTGCCTTAGACCTCTCCATGTGTGTCTCAAAAGACCATCCACCTGGGCGGTAGTGGCATGTGCCTTTAATCCCAGCACTTGGGAGGCAGAGGCAGGTGGATCTCTGTGAGTTTGAGGCCAGCCTGGTCTACAGTGAGTTCCAGGACAGCCAGGGCTACACAAAGAAACCATGTCTTGAAAAACAGAAACAAACAAAGGCCACCCACTCCTCATTTTAGTGGTAGATGCCTGGCCCAAACTAAGCCAACCAGATTCTAGAAATTTGTAAAGCTATACCAAACCTCAAGGTGGCTGGAGCTGAGTCACAGGGGTGCGGGTGGGCCTCAAAGCCTAGAGGAATGGCCCAAGAGGATCTGCTTCTGAGTTCTCTGGAGAGCTCCTCTCTTCCATGGCCATGGCTCTCCAGCACATCCCCTGATAAAGGATGCCACTCAGAATTCCTCCGGCGACCTCTTTTATCCCTGCTAGTTTGTGTTTCCGCTGCTCCTAGCCAGAGCACACTAGCTTCTAGGGAAAGTGATAGGAAGTTGCCTGCTCTCGGGTAGGCAATCTCATCCTTGTTCACCTGAGATCTAGTGGATGCACCCAGAGCCTCCGAGGACAGTAACTCTTCAGCAGTGCCGTCACTCAGCCCTGGCTTTCTGCCCCCAAAGCTGATGGCCCCTCCCGTTTCCCCCAAATTTTTAGCAACTATGCGTTGTTGATTGAGAGGTTTGGGAGCTCTAAAATATTGGGAATTTTCCTTTCTGTCAAGACAGAGTCTCATATATCCTAGGCTGGTCTTGAACTCCATTTATAATCAAGAATAAGCTTGAACTTCTGCTCCTCATCCTCCTATCACTTCTGGAGTGCTGAGGTCATAGGTGTGCACTACCACACCCAACTAGGGACCGAAGTCATTGTCGAAACGCATGCTCAGCAAGCACTCTCTCAACCGACTTACAGAGCCAGCACTCCCTACCCTCTATTTTAAACTTCAAAAATGATTTATGCAGATGGGTGTTTTGTCTGCATGTATGTCTGTGCACCACGTGTGTCCCTGGTACCTGTGGAGGTCAAATTGGTTGTAAACTACTGTGTGGGTGCTGGGAACCTAACCTGGATCCTCCGTAAGAACACAAGGGTTCTTTTTTGTTTGTTTTTGAAACAGTGTTTCTCTTTGTAGCCCTGGCTGTCCTAAAATTCACTCTGTAGACCAGGCTGGCCTGGAACTCAGAGATCCCCTTGCCTCTCCCTTGGCATGCTCCATCGCTGCCTGGCTGCAACAAGTGTTATTTTAGAGAGAAGTGAGCCCTCTCTCCAGGCCCAGCCCTTTTTATTATTGTTGTTTGAGACAGAAATGGTCTTACTATGTGGCTCAGGATGGCTTTGAATTCCCAATCTTCTGGCTTCTGCCCTGTAAGTGATGGGATTACAGGACTGCATCATCATCATCAACCCCAAGGGCTTCCGTTTTTCCACTCATGGCAATGGTCTAGAAGTTTGTCTTGCTCCACCTGGCCACCAACAACACAGATACAAGACCCCGGGACTCAACCTCTCCTCTGGTAGTATCCATAAAACTATCTTCAAGCTGGGCAGTGGTGGCACATGCCTTTAATCCCAGCACTCGGGAGGCAGAGCCAGGCGGATCTCTGTGAGTTCGAGGCCAGCCTGGTCTACAAAGCAAGTTCCAGGACAGGCTCCAAAAGCTACACAGAGAAACCCTGTCTCAAAACAAACAAACAAACAAACAAACAAACAAACAAACAAACAAAAGGTAAAAAACATATCTTCAGTTTCTGATGTCAAAGCTAGAGGTCCTTGGATGGTAGCCACTCAGTAGAGTGACCAGTCTCCTACCTCCCAGCCATACCAAGGACATCCCAGTTGAGCACTGAAAGTACCGTGTCCTGAGTACCCTCAAGACGATTGGCCACCTGACCTAAACTGAACTCAAGAACCAGATGGCGCTGTAGGATGGTTTTGTAGGAAGCTGGTTAGTGCACTTTATTTTTTTCTTTCTGTCGGTTATTGCACTTTAATAGCCCATTTCTTCCTTGAGAGAAGCTGGGAAAATGTTGGCACTCGGGCCAATCTGAGCTAGGAAAACTATGTCAAATATCTTCTTTTATAGGCGTCATTGGTGAGAAGAAATGACCATAACTCAGTCAACAGTACCTTTCAGTTAGAAAATGTCTCAGGTGAGAAGTCTCATGGGAGTGTGCAGGAGGAGGAGAAAGAAGTTTGTACTGGCCTCCTTGACAGTGTCCTAAGCCAATGGTCCACCAGATAACTCAACCATCTCACCTGCCCCAGAGAAGCGTCTTTCTGTTAACTCTCATGCCCCCCCACCCCCCCCACCCCCGCTCCCTAGGCCATCAGCTGTGGTCCAGCTTAGAAGATGTCCTGTCTCCTCAGTCCTGGCCTCTCTCCTGCGTCCCTTGCTGTCAAACACACCACTGTCTCAAGGAGAACATCAACCATTTCTGTGATGAAGTATAGAACTCAGGGGCCACCTGGCCATCGGGTCACCTGGCCCAGGCCTAGGAAGTAGGCTAAGAGAACCCAAAGCAAGACTCGAGTTGGGCTGGGCAGTGGTGACGCACGCCTTTAATCTCAGCATTCAGGAGGCAGAGGCAGGCAGATCTCTGTGAGTTCGAGGCCAGCCTGGTCTACAGAGTGAGTTTGAGGATAACCAGTACTGTTTCACAGAGAAACCCTGTCTCAAAAAGCAAAAACAAAACAAAAAGACTTCAGCTGGAATCTTAGCCCTGTACTTTCCTTAATTACACATCCTAGGGCAATCAGTCCCTGTCTCGGAGCCCGCCCCATCTGCAGTTACAGATGGGTGACAATACTTATTTCAGAAGGCTGTGTTAGGGGCAGAGCATAAGATCTTGAAAACAAAGTGTAGAGGACAGTAAGTTGAGGTTACTATTGTCCAGGATTAAGCTTTCCTCCATGATGACTGGTTTTATAGACCAGAACCAGCAGGGGTGGGTGCTGAGAGCCCTGTTCTCTGAGCTACTCCACAGAACGGGCTCTATGGAGGAGCATGGGCTAAGTGTGGGAGATGGCCAGCCACAAGCATCAAGTGCCTTTCCTAAATGTTATCAGTTGGCTAGATTGGTCTTTTGGTGAGCTTTGGTCAGAATGAAAAAGGAAATGTATCTAGATTCCCCAGAACCCACAGTGGAAGGAAAAAACCAAGCCCTGAGAGCTGTACTCTGAAAATGAAGCAGGATATAGGAAATAGAAGTACAGATGGGGCCAGGCCAGCACTGTCCAATAGAACCTTCTGTCCCAATGTCCCGCCTCAGCACTGTTTAGCGCAGTCTGCCTCAGGTCACGTGGGCTACTGAGCTCGCAAATGTGCCTGGCAATTCAAAAAAAAAAAAAAAAAAAATGAGTTTTAGGGGCTGGGGATAGAGTACTTGCATAGCCCCAGGAAGTAGTCCATGGTTTGTTCCCAGCACTGTGCAAGCCAGGCACAGGGGTTCATGCCTGTAATCCCAGCAGTTGGGAGGTGAAAGAGGAAAGATCAGAAGTTTTAATTCAGCTACACGGCAAGCTGGAGGCTAGCCTGGAATATGTGATTCTGTGTCGAAATCAAGAAGAAAGGGAGGCAGGGGAGATGGTTCAGTAAGAGTGCTTGCTGCAAGATCATGAGGACATGAGTTCAGATCCCCAAAGCCGTGTCAAAACACCCAAGGACACTTGTAACCCCGGCACTGAGGATGGGGGTGGAGGAGGACCACTGGGACTTGCTAGCTACCAGACTAGCCCCAAAGCAAGCTCCAGATTCAGTGAGAGACCTTGTCTCAAGGAGATAGGGTGGAGAGTGGCTCACATCTTCCTCTGGCTTCTGTTTGTACACCTGCATGCTCTCACACACACTTTAAAATTTAATGCAATTTTGCTTAAATAGCTGTGTGGCTAGTGGCTACAACACTGGCCAGCCAAGGATGCTGAGCATCTGTCTCTTAAGGAGGGGACCAGAGAGGCTGGTGTGCATCATGATGTACCCAATGTCACAAAGCTGCTGAAAAATCCAGGAGGGAGCCTCCTGCCTCCTCTGTAGCTGCTCCCAATTAAGATGAGCTCGGTGAGTGCTAACCCAGGAAAGGACAGCTCCTGCCCCAGATAGACATAAGCAAAAAGCAAGCAGAAACACGCAAGTGTTCTGGAAGCCCCACAGGGCTTGGCAGCCAGTTTAGGATGTATGGCTGTCCCCTCACCCAGCCTGAAATGCCCTTCGCAGTGTCCTGGCACTTTCAATGTATGCAAGCCAGAGCCAGACAAGGACAAAGGGACCACACTTGGGGCAGCTGCAATCTCTGGAACCCTCTTTCTGACTGGCACACTTGCTCCCTCCCCCATTAGCCCAGCTTGGACAGGGAAGGCCACCTTTGGTGGAGGTCAAGGCCATCTTAGCAGCTCAACATGGATTCCACCTGCACATTCCCTCAGCCTGCCTACGCACAGACACCCAGGTGGAGGATCAAATTAATCCAGCTCTGTATCCGGAGGGCTGGCACTCATATCTCCATGCACCAGGGAGGGTGTGCAGAATTATGGACAAGGCTGAGTGACGGCCAAGCCCTCAGGAGCAGAGGTGGGTGGGAGAGAGTTCTGGCACCTCTTTCAAACCATCTGTCCCCAACCAAACCATGTGAGTACACCGGAGCATTCCAGGCACCCTGAGACCAGGCAGGACCAGTGTCCAGCCCCATTCCTGACCCTCCTCTTTCTTCCCCACCCCTTCCTGCTTTCTTTTCCTTCTCTTCTCTTTTGTTCAAGTAAGTTTTTAACCAAGGTATAATAGCACAGAAAAGGACACGAATCATAAACATATGGAATTTTCCCAGTCACCTCAGCTCGGTAACTGGCCTGAAGATCAAGAAATGGATCATAGAGCTGGAGAGAGGGCTCAGCAGTAAAACAAAACAAAACAAAAAAAAACAAAAAAAACCCCGCTTGTTCTTCCAGAGAATCTGGGTTTCCAGCACCCACATAGTAGATCACTGCTGTGGGGATGTCTTTCTGTATGCTGTGAATATGTGTTGCTCTGGTTGGTTAATAAATAAGCCACATTGGCCTATGGCAAGGCAGCTTAGAGGCAGGTGGGAAATCCAAGCAGAGATACAGGAAAGAGAAAGGCAGGATGGGAGAGATGCCAGCCCGCCACCCAAGGAGCAACAAGATGCCAGCAGACCGGTGATGCCAGCGGACGGATAATGCCATAACCATGTGGCAACATATAGATGAACAGAAATGGGTTGAATTAAGTTATAAGAGCTAGCTAGCAAGAAGCCTGACCCATAGGCCATACAGTTTGTAAGTAATATCAGCCTCTGTGTGTTTACTTGGGACCAAGCAGCTGCACAACACAGATGAGAGAGACTCGTCCTGATGGTGGGGCCAGACAGAACTGGAGAAACTTATGGCTACAGCCTATAACCATCTGATGCCCTCTTCTGATCTCCCTGCGCACTGGGCACACAGGTGGTGCACATACATACACACAGACGAAACACTCATACACACGAATAAAAATGAAAAGAAATAGGACACACTGTGCTTGAGAATTCCCCTGCCTGTCCCTTATCGGCCATCACTCCGACCTTTGTTCAGGTTGCTATTGCTGGGACAAGACATCGTGACCAAAAGCAGCTTGGGGAGAAAGGGTTTGCCTCAGCTTCTGCTCCACAGCACGGTCCATCATCAAAGGAAGTCAGGGCAGGAACTAAAGTCAGGAAACTGGAAGTGGGAACAGAAGCAGAAGCAATGGAAGGATGCTGTTTGTTGGCTTGCTCAGCCTGCTTTCTTATGCCATCCAGGGCCACTTGCCCAGGAATAGCACCATCCACAATGGGCTGGGCCCTTTTTTTGTAGCAATTCTATTGGATTGAAGAAGTCAATTTCTATAAACCTACCCCTAGTTTTAAACTTATTTATTTTTAAATTACCATTATTATTTTATCTATCTATCTATCTATCTATCTATCTATCTATCTATCCATCTCTCTATATATATCTATTTTATGTGTATGGGTGTTTTGTCTGCATGTATGTGCACCACATATATACAGTACCCTCAAAGACCAGAATAGCGTGTCAGATCCCCAGAGTTGTAGCTGTTTGTAAACTGCCATGTAGATGCTGAGAATCAAACCTGGGTTTCTCTGGAAACCTGTCCTCTCCAGTGCACTTAACCACTGAGCCATCTCTCCAGCCCCTAAATTGTTCTTTATTTTTTTTTAATAATATATTTGTTTTTGTTATTTTATGTGTGTTGGTGTTCTACATGCATGTATGTCTGTGTGAGGTGGTCAGATCTCCTGGAACGAGAGTTATAGACAGTTGTGAGCTGCCTTGTGGGTGCTAGGAATTGAACCAGGTCCTCTGGAAGAGCAGCCAATGCTCTTAACCACTGAGCCATCTCTCCAGCCCCTGGATTTTTGTTTTTCATATAATGTTAAGAGCACTGGCTGCTCTTCCAGAACCAGTTGTTGTTGTTATTATTATTATTGAATTTTATTTGTATGAATGTTTTGCCTGTACATATGTCTGTTCACCATGTGCATCAGATTCCCTGGGGCTGGAGTTAATGACAGTTGTGAGCTTCCATGTGGGTGCTGGGAATCAAACCTAGGTCCTCTGGAAGTGCAGTCAATGCTTTCAACTGGTGCGTCATCTCTCTAGTTCCTTAATTTCCCCTTTAAAGACCCCCATCTCTAAATGCAGTGCTATTTTGAGGTATAGACATTATTTTAATTAATTAATTTTTTATTTAAAAATTTATCTTTACTTTTATTTAATATGTAGGGTCTCTTGCCCACGTGTATGTCTGTGCACCACATGTATGCAGTTACCATGAAGACAAGAAGGTATCCGATTCCCTGGGTCTAGAATTACAGGAAGTTGTGAGCTGCCATGTGGGTTCTTGGAATTGACCCTGGGTTCTCTGGGAAAGCAGCCAGTGCTCTTAATGGCTGAGCCATCTGTGGTGGTTTGAATGGCCCCCATAGGCTCATGTATTTGAAGGCTTAGTCACCAGGGAACAGCACTATTTGAAAGGATTAGAAGGACTAGGAGGGTGGCCTGGTTGGAGGAAGTGTGTCACGTTTTTTTGAGGTTTCAGAAGCTCACGCCAGGTCCAGTGTCCCTCTCAGCTACCGCTCCAGCACCACGTCTGCCTCCATGCTTCCTGCCATGATGATCATGGACTAACCTCCGAACCTGTGAGAGAGCACACAATTAAATGCTTTCTTTTATAAGGGTTTCCTTAATCATCATGTCTCTTCACAGCAATAAAACAGTGACTAAGACACCATTTCTCTAGCCCCTCTCACACATCTCTGTGTGTATTCCACTTGTGTGCAGGTACCCATGGAGGCCAGAAAGGATGTCAGATCCTCTGGAACTGGAGTTACAGGAAGTTGTGAGCTTCCCCTTCATGGGTGCTGAGACCCAAACTCAGGTCCTCTGCAAGAGCAGATGTGCTCTTAACCATTGAGCCATCTGTCTAGCCCCCGAATCTTTTTTTTCTTACAAAAGATTTCTTTTGTACCGTACTTGGGGTGGGGTGCAAAGAATATTCTTATAAATGTCATGAGTATGAGTGCTTTTGTTCATTTGCTTCATTTTCTGTTTTGTTGAGATAAGGTCTTATGAATCCTGGCCTGGAACTTTAGAGATGGTTTATGGTGTACAGAAGCTTGCCAAGCAAGCCTGATGACTTCAGTCTGATACCAGCACGGCAGTGTAATATAGTCAGGAGATCTCCGCCCAGGCTGTCCTTCATAGTCCACTAGGGAGCTTTAGCCAATGCCTCCATCAACTCTCCCCCTGTAGAACTCCTGCTCCGATTGGTCTAGGCAAGCTGGGCTCCTAGCATTGTTTCAGTGCTCTCCAGGGGATCCGGATGGGCAGGCAAGGTTGAGAGGGCCAATCTGTCTTCACAGTGATTTAAGGGCAGGATGTGGTGAGAGGGCTCCTTGTTGCCTCTGTCTTACAAGTCAGGGGTGGGGGTGGCTGAGACCCGAGAGAGCCCTCGGGCTGGTTATAACAGGCTCTTCATTCAGCCTTTCTTATGACTTGACAAGCCATTCTCTTTAGAGAGCACAGCCTGGTGGAGTCAGCACCTCAGACCTCAGAACAGGTCAGGCTAGTGGCAAGAATCTGGGCCTGGGTGACCACAGCCTCTGGCGTGCTGGACACACCCAGTGTCTACCAGACTCTGTGTGGGCATTTTTCCTTCAACCCACAGGTGTTATTATGTGTGCTGCGTGTTGATGGCAGTGGAGTCCACTCGGCTCAAGCTGCATAGGACGAAGTGAGCCAGCCTGGAAGCACCTATGGGTGCCTGACCGTGAGCTCTGTGGGTATCTCATTAGTCCTTTCTGCTCCCTCTGTCCCAGGGGAGGAGGCCATGAACACCCAAGTCAGGTAACAGGCCTTCTGTGGGCAAAGCCATACTCCTCTAGCCTCAGTGTCTTTGGAAACCCAAATGCCATCTGGTACTCGGTACAGAAAATATTTCTAAGGAATCCTGCCCATCACGGCCCAGCTTCTGCAGTTTCACCTCTGGACACGTGCATATTCATCAGCAAATGTCTGCCATTAAAAGAATGCTTGTTGTTTGACACCCCATGTTCCCTTTCTGAAGGACAGACGGCTGCTTGCTTTGCTCTCGAAAAGAGTAAACCTGATGCAGATGGCTGAGTGCACATCTTCCCGACTTGCAGGGAGACAGGTTGTTCGGAAAGGTCTCAGTCTAGCCTCCCGTTAGCAGGCTCCCTGTCCAGGCTCCAGCATCATGTTTGCTTTCTTTCCAAGAAAATGTTTAAATATGCCAACAGTAAGGGTTATCTGTTAGGAATTGCACGCGGCGGGACTCCCAGATGCAGCGGTGGGCTGGCAGGCGGCCCAGTCCATGTGGGTATGGCGGCCGGCTGCGGGTGGAGATATACAACTCAGACGCTGCATCTGCGTGGAAATGGTTTATTATAATAGAGAGATGGAGAGGCAGAAAGACAGAAAGAGGGAGAGGGATAGAGAGAGAGGGGGATAGAGAGAGCGAGGGATAGAGAGAGGGATAGAGAGAGAGAGGGAGGTGAGGGGTGCCAGAGTTGCACACCTCGTGGGAGGAAAGCGGAAGAGAGAGAAGGGAAGGGGCGGAGTTTTCCCTTCAGAATAGGCTTCTACATCAGGGCATTGGGTGGCACCAAGGGGCGGGATCAGATATGTTAACAATATCTATCTCTCTTATTCCCTACCCCCGCTCCTCCTCCAGCCCCCCCCCCCCCCCCCCCCGCCCCAGATGCAACTCAGGTTGTTAACACTTTCTAAGCAAGTGCTGTATCTCCAAGCATGCTTCCCAGCCTTGGAAAATTCACACTTCTACCTTTTGAGTTTAAAAAAATAAAAATCCCTTGCAGCTAGGGAGATGCTCACTCAGTCAAATGCTTGTGTGAAGATATGAGGACTTGAGTTAGAACCATCCAAATCTACATGGAAAAGCCAGGCATGCTAAAATGCACATCGAACATCAGTGCCGGAGAGAAAGAAACAGGAAATGGCCTTCCCCAAAGCAGCCGCGTGTCCCCTGACACGCGCATTTTCTTGCCTTCTCAAAAGTCATGCAGAGAAGCTGGGCGGCACACGCCTTTAATAACAGCACTTGGGGGGCAGAGGAAGGAGGATTTCTGTGAGTTCAAGGCCAGCCTGGTCTACAGAGTGAGTTCTAGGATAGCCAGGGCTGCAGTGAGAAACCTGTCTCTAAAAACCAGGAATAAAAAAAAAAAAGAAAGAAAAAAGAACAGGTAAAAGTGCAGGGACCTCATTGGGTCTCTGACAAGAGCAGCCATCATTAGTGTCCTGTCCTGTCCCTTTCGTGTCCTCCTCGCGCACGCGCGCGCGCGCGCGCGCGCGCGCGCGCACACACACACACACACACACACACACACACAAGTCCCAGTTCCTCTGAACTGGGCCAGTCACCTGCGACTTCCTTCTTCCTGTGTCTCTGGAAGAGGTTGTAATGGAAAACTCCCAGTGCCTGTGCTGGGACTTGAGGGGCGTGGCTTGCACACATCACGTGAATTGGCAGAGGCCACCTCTTGGCAGCCATTACTTGCTACATCCCAACCTTGATACCTTTTAGGGGGCAAGGCAAGGCTCCTCCACCAATGGGAACCGCACAGGCCATCTGGCAGTCAAGGTTGCTTCAGCTCTTCATGAGTTTCAGATGTTCAAGGACTCTTTGATTTCCACATTATGACTGATTTTCTTTTTTGGTCTTTCTAAGCTGCAATCAGTCCAGCATGGGTGTGGGAGTCCTTCCAATATCAGCGAGTCTGGATCCATGTGTCAAGTGAGGGAATAATTAGGTAAGGAAATAGGCTTCATTTTGCTACTTCAGAACCGTGAGGGAGAACCAGCTTTAAAAAATATCAGGGAAGGTGGGGCTCGGTGTCTGGCTCAAGTCTTAAATGCCAGCAGAGGCAGAGGCAGGAGGATCTCTGTGAGTTTGAGGCCAGCCTGGTCTACATAGGGAGTTTTAGGACAGCCAGAGCTACATAGCGAGACCCCATTTAAAAAATCATTAATAATAACAGCTTTATATGCCAGTGGTTTTTTGGAACAAGGAGAGCCAACACTCTGAAAAGGTTCATTACTAATATGTTCAAAAGATGGTAGGCACACTCGGCCCCAACTGGGGCTTTTTCCTCATATAATTTGTCATGAATTGGCCAAATGTGAGTATGCCTGGGGACCCTTCCCCAAGAGCTACTGCTCACTAGGACTATGGTACAAGACATGTTGATACAGATACATTCAGCTCCAGGGCTATTTCCAAGGTCACTTTTTCTTTGCTGTGGGTTTTGCAGGATATTAAGAAAGAACAAAACAAAAGGCTGAAGTAATGGCCCAACAATCAAGAACACTTGCTATTCTTCTAAAAGACCCATAATCAGTTCCCAGCACCCACACTGAGTGGCTCATGATGTAACTCTAGTTCCTTGGGATCTGGTGCCCTCTTTCAGCACCATGAACACTAGCACGCACATTAATTAAAAACAAAATAGGAAGAACCTTTTATGTACACCCATATGGAACGTTTCTTTTCTTGCCGATTTAGTTTTTAAAGTGCTTCATTGGAAAGCATGTCTCAGTTCCTGGGAGAGATGATAATGGATGCCATGTGGCAAGGGAGGCAAGAAGAGGAAGAGGAAGGTTCATCGGATGACAGTACTCTCTGGCTGCACTTTCAGAGGATCAAGGTTCGATTCCCAGCCCACAATGGTCTCTAAATTCAGTTTCAGACTCCCATTTCTGGCATCCCAAGGCACTGCACACATCTGCTGCACATACATGCAGGCAAAACACTCATAAAAATAAAAATAAATCTTAAGATGTGGAAGTGGTCCTCATTCAGGCTGGCCATCGGCATGTAGTGTGCGCCCCCACCATGTAAATCTATCTTATCTGTGCATAGTGACACACACTTATAAACTGAGGCAGGAGGACCGCTGTATGTTCAAGTCCAGCCTGGGTTACATAGCAAGATCAGGTTTCAAAAACACAAGCAAGGGCTGGAGAAATAGCTCAGTGTTAAGATAGTACAGTGCTCAAGGAAGACAGGGTTTTGATTCCCAGCTCTATATAGCGGGTGGCGCACCAAGTTCCTGAAACTCCAAATCCAGGGGACATAGTGCCCTCTTCTGGCTACAAAGGACACTGCACTCACATACACAAGCCTGTATTTAGACCCACATATACACATAATTAAAAAAAAATTAGCTGGGTGTGGTGATGCAGGCCTTTAGTCCCAGCACTCAGGAGGCAGAAGCAGGCAGATCTTTGTGAGTCTGAGGAAAATCTCATCTGCATAGTGAGTTCAAGGCCAACCAGGGCTACATAGTAAGACCCTGTCTCAAAAACAAAATAAAACCCTAAAATTAATTTAAAAAAAACACAAAGCAAACAAACAAGAGTGAACCCATATCAGAAAACATCTCTCAGGCAGAATGCAATAAATGACTTGTGTGGGTGACTGGAGAGATGGCTCAGAGGTTAAGAGCACTGGCTGCTTGTCCTGAGGTCCTGAGTTCAATTCCCAGCAACCACATGGTGGCTCACAACCATCTATAATGAGATCTGATGCCCTCTTCTGGCTTGCAGGTAAAACACTGAGTACATAATAAATAAATCTTAAAAAAAATAAATGAATGAAT